GCCACTCTCGAAATTCGGAGGCTGCCCCGTTTGACTTGGGCACGCCGCACGACAACCCGCACTACGAGCCCTACGAATTCGATAACCACCTGGCCTGGAACGAAGCGAAGGTTCCGGGCATCTTCCTGGTGGGCTTTCTCCGTGTTTTGGTGGTGACAACAGTTTTTCTCGGTGAGCACAGCTATTTCTTCTGCGAGTTCTTCGGTGGTTTCGACGGCGCTTTCTACGACAACTTCAAGGACAACGACAACAGCGGTCTCTACTACCTGAACGGCTACCTCAAGGACAACAACAGCAGCGGTCTCTACTACCTGGACACCTACCACAAGGACATCGTCGGCAACGGTGTCTACTACCTGGACAACTACTTCGAGGACTTCGGTGACAGCGACTTCGGCTACATCCAGAACAACGAGAACCTTACCTTCTTCGACAACTTCGGCGGCTTCCCCTTCGGCAAGAGCACAATGACTTCGTCGCATGGGCCTGGAACCGGAGGAGGTATTCCTCTTCATGAGTTCCGGAAGGACACTCCTCCCGGATGGGCCCCTGGTCTGGCAGATTATCCCTTGCGCCTTTTCTTCGAGCGGCTGAAGCTTTGGTATTCCATTTTCGACGGAGATGACACCTTGGTGGGCCCGCTTGTCGCGGGCACGCTGCAAGGAAAGGCGCAAAGGCTGGGCATGCAGTTGCGCCTGGTGCGCCCAGATGGACAGTACGATGTGGGAAGCGATGCACTCCAACGACTTTCTGTTGAGGAAGTGAGGGACCCAAACAACCCGGCTGTGATCATCCAACATGCCATTCCGAGTGGCGTTCAGGCCCTTTGCAACAGCCTGAAGGATGCTTTCGGAATGTCAGACCAAGAAATTGTCAGCCGGAGTATAGAAGACTTCTTTGAGTTCAAGCGTGGCAAGCTTTCTTTTCAGGAGTACGCGATCGAGTGGGACATACGTCTGGAAGAAGCCACGACGAAAGCAGGTTTGGAGCTGAACGATGTGGCGAAGTTTTACCTGTTCTTTCGTGGCAGCGGTCTCCCTCAGCGCTTCATCGAGGACATCAAGTTGCAGCTGCAAGGAGACCTCAGAAGGTATGTCGACGCTCGCACCATTGCCTTGCGCCTCATCACAAAGAAAGATGACGTTGGCGACTCCTACTACGAGGAACAACAACCAGAGGACCTCGAGGACAGCAGCTGGGATGGATACTGGACAGATGACAGCTGGTCCTGGGTCGAGGACTATGAGCCGTCCGAGTACTACGAGGATCCCTGGATGGAGTCGAGTTACTATGAGGATGAGGTCTATGACTGGTATGATTCCGAGGATCACCCGAGCTATGTCGACGAGTCCTCAGCCGACCAAGGTGATCTTCAAGAAGCCCCCTTCTCTGAAGCTAGAGAGTCATACCCAGTCAAAGGCAAGGGCAAAGGAATTTGGGTGCACGATCTGCGGCTGCAGATGGCACTCAGCAGCCTCTTGCCCAGTCAACAATGGCAAGGCCGGCAAGGGCAAGGGCAAGGGCAAAGGAGGCAAATCGAAAGGCCTCCGAAAAGGCTCTGGCAAGGGCTACAAGGGCAAGTCGTATGGCAAGCGGCCAAGCTTTGGAAAGTCCAGAGGCAAGGGTTCATGGTGGCCTTCGAAAGGTTACCATGGCTATGCCGAGCACGACTGCTACGGCAAGACCCTTTCGAAGAGCTTTGGCGAGACCACTGCCATCGACATGCAGCCCAAGGCCAAGACGGTTCACTTCCAGCTTGACACAGAAGAGGCTCCCATCCTCAACTTGGGAAGGGCCCGTCATTCCGACGAGCCACCGCGCGATGGTGAAGGCGAGCCCTCTTCTTCTTCGGCACCTACGGCACGAAGGCTGGACCTCTCTTTCCCGACCTCGATCTACAGTGACCACACGACCTACCACACGGTCCTTGGGCAGAAAAGGAGAGGCTTGTTGGTGGACCCGGGTGCTGCCTCGGGCCTTTTTGGCTCGGAAACGTTGAGAGACATTTTGGAGTCCTGTCTGCCATCGGAGAAGTCTGCCACGGTCAGTTGGAACCATGACAGATCTCACTCGGTGAGTGGGATCAACGGCACACCAGAAGAGACACTCGGTGAAGTGTCTTTCCCGCTGACTCTGGCGGGCGCTTCGGGATCTTTCTCGGCCGATGTTCTTGGAGGAGAAGGGTCTTTGTGTCCGGCTTTGTTGTCGAACCCCTCGCTTCGAAAGCAGAAAGCAAGTTTGCTGTTGGACTACTTTGCCAATGGCGATGGCGTCATGGTTGTCAGCGATGGTTCCGATGGATGGCATTACCTGAGACTTTTGCTCACCGATTCGGGACACTATCTGCTGCCCATCGACAACCACAAGGCTGTTTCTTCCGAGACGAAGACCAAGGTAGCGGCACAGCTCTACACTTGGTCCAGTGAAATTTCACAACGATGGAAGGATGTCCGGCATTGCTTTCTTCAGCATGGGCAGTGCCGTTCCAGTCGGGAACATGAGCGGAGTGAACGACATCGCGATGCCACCACGGCAACCCACGACAACGACAACCAGAGCACGATAGCAAAGACTTCATCCACTACGTCTGGCAACAGATACAGCTCAGCGAGGGACACCACCTCTACCACGACAGCAGATGCCAACGACAACGACAACCAGGACACGATAGCCAAGACTTCATCCACTACGTCTGGTTTCAATGGTCACCGCAGCAGTCAAACTTCAAGAACAACAACCACTGACCTTGACAACGACTATGAGAACAAGACCTCAAGCACCACCTCCAAGGACGCTGGCTCAAACATGGTCTTGACTTCAGGTACTACGACTTTGGCAACAGCCAACAACCACGACAACCGAGACACGATAGCGAAGACTTCATCCACTACGTCTGGTCGTTATTTTAATGATGATGCCAAGCACATCTCTGGTCGTGTTTCACAAGATGCCAAGCACATCTCTGGTCGCTCTTTCCTGGACGGGCCGTCTGGCGAACGTCCTACTGTTCAGGACTCCTGGAGGATAGACGGTGAGTACCTGGTACGTGATCATCGTGTTCCTCGTCGTGCTCTTTTCGTCCCTGGCTGCACCGTTGACTGTCCAGTGCCTGCGGATCGCATTTCGGAGCAGCGAGTGACTACACTTAAGGCAGTGGCACGGCGAGCACCTCCTCGATTCCTGGAGGACGACTGGCGATCTTCCTCCACAGCTTGCAAGGACATGGAGTACTTGTGGACTGGCACAACTCGTTTCAAGTTGGTGCCAGACCGGGCTCTCGACTCGTCCTCCTCGGCGCCTACGGTGGCTACGGATGAGGCGACGAAAGAGGGCAGTTTGGACCCCTCAGTCTTTCCATGTTATGGAGGCGATCGCTATCCCTCTCATTGGTCTGATGAGAGATGTGCCAAAGCAGAAAGGTATTACAAGTCCGTCCCGGAGGAGTACTACAGTCGAAGCGGACGCCGTCCAATAACTCCTGACAACATCGAGTCTTGGATGTCGTCAGCTTCCAATCGAGGCCTTCGCTTTCAAGCGTGGGAGTGGTTCAGCAGAAGTGGGCGTTTGTCGCTCTGCCTGCCTCTCGCAAACATAGTCGTTGGTCCACCCATCGACTACCGCTACGGATGGGACGTGTCCTATGCCCCTCACCAGGAGCTGCTTCAGAAGTGCCAGGCGGAGTTTCAGCCGGTCCACTTGTTCGCGTCTCCGAGTTGGAACCAGTGGACAGAACATTCCGCTGTGAAGGATAAGCACTTACGTGATGTTGAGCGACGGGGCGATCTTCCTTCACTGCAGTACCTGGGTGAGGTGATGAACATTCAACATTTGCAGAACAGGGGATTCACCGTGGAACAGCCCCTTGGATCTGCAATGTTCAAGGAGAGCCCTCTTTCTCGTTTGCGAGATTTGGATGGAGTTCGCACTGCTCGTCTTGACCAGTGCATGTTCGGCGCCCAGGATGAGTTGCTGAACCCTCTGAGGAAGGCGACCTGTTTGTTGACGAACAGGAAGTGGCATCGGGTTCTGAAGAGATGTGGTGGTCACCGGGGAAGGGCTCATGGAACAGCCACCGGCCGTGTTCATGGCTGCAGTCGTTCCGACCTGGCCACCGTTTTCCCAAAGCGACTTTGTCAGGCTCAGGATTTCTGGGTTGTTTTTCGCAGTGACAGTGTCGACAAGCTACAAGCATGGCCATCGTTTTTGTTCGGCACCAACCAGATTTTTTACTCTTGTGAGCGATGCCAACTCGGACGCGCAGCACCTCCTGGCTGTGAACACACCTTGGTTCCTGGCGAATGTCGCTACGGCCAGCCCTCGATGCGGGCTTCGCGAGCACGGGCTGCAGCTTCTACTACAGAGCCTACTTCCTCGGTCCCATCTCCGAGTTCAGCTCCCTCGGCACCTGCTGATGCACCTTCTGCACAACCAGCTCTTCGACAGCAGGACTTAGAGGATATCACTGGGCCGTTCAAATTCCTGGCGCGGTCTGGTGACTATTCTCGAGTGCAGCTAGAGATCCACACCTCGCTGACTTTGGACATCGAGGCTCGTCTCTACCTCAAGGCTGCTCTGATGCAGCTCATTGAGTCCTGCTTGGATATTTTCTCCGAGAACACGTCCCGCGACTTGAAACACTGGCTCTCTGACCCCATTCTTCTTCGGGTGTTCCAAGATGTGTTTTCGGAGATACTGAATGTCCTGGGTGTGATGGTGTGTCTACGACCTTGGAACAAGCAGGTGCCAGACCCGCAGCTTTCCTCTACCGTGGCTCCAATGCGGCTACTGATCAATGGTCACATTCGTTCTTGGTACATTGGTCCCTTGGAGGACATGCGAGTTTTGTCGCATCGTCAGCTTCACGATCCAGTTGATGAAGCGGACTGGCATGTTTACCTCTTCGGTGTGTGCCATGAGGACTATGATGCTGATCGCCCGCTCCCTCCGGGCACCGATCCAGCTGTGTTGCCTCAGGCGGCTCGCCCTGCTGCGCCGCTGGTTCCGGTCGAAAAGAAAAGTGTGGGGAAGACTCAAACACCATTTCAACCTCCTCTTCAACCTCCTTCTGCCGATTTGGACGATGCCATGGAATATCAGCCATCCGAGGCTGAGGCAGAAGAGGAATTTGATCCTGTTCGACCGGATGAGGATCAAGACAAGATTCTCAAGCCCTTGTTCGACTTCAAGAAGGTATACAAGCGGCTGCAGACGGATCTGCTGGAGCGAGATCCTCACACAGCGAAAAGGTTGTTGCTCGGATTGCATGAGCGGTTCTATCATTGCCCGATCTCCGACTTCAAGAACATGCTGTTGCGAGCCGGACTTTCTTCTGCAGTGCTTCCCCTGGCAGAAGAAGCTGTGATGAGTTGCTCGATATGCAGGAAGTATGTTCGGCTTCCCAACCGGCCGCAGATCAAGATCGGTGCAGGAGCTTCGTCTTTCAACCTCCGAGTGCAGATGGATTTGTTCCAGTACAAGGGCCAATGGGTTCTTCTTATGATAGACGAGGCCACAAGGTACAAAGCAGCTTGCTCAGTTTCTTCTCGAGAACATCATGAGCTGCTGAGCAAGATCTTTGAGATCTGGTTCGTGGTCTTCGGACCGCCCTACCAGCTGATCCTTGACCAGGAGACGAGCTTGATGAGCCATGAAGCTGGCAAGGAACTTGAAAGGTTCAGTGTGGAACGAGTTCCCAAGGGAACCACAGCCGGTACTGCGGCACAACAGCACACCGGAACCGGTCTCATCGAAAGGCACGTGGGCTTGACGGAGATTTCCATGATGAAGTTGGAGGCAGAGTTGGATCGTCAAGGAATCTCCAACTCCATCAACGACCTCGCCCGAGAATGTGTCATGTCACACAATAATGATTGTTCTGGGGTGACCGCCATTGCCGGAGCCTTGCAGACGGATGTTACGCCATTCGAGAAGGCATTGCGAATCCGGCAGCTGGCTCTCTCTACGGTCCAGAAAGCCGTCGCTGAGGACCGCATCGCCCGTGCCAACCGTACGAGGACCCAGCAACTGGAACTCGGTGAGCTAGTGCCTGGTGTCACGCGTGTAGACTTCCACCGGGAGACTCAAGGTGATGTGGGCTGGAGAGGACCCGCTGAATTGCTGAAAGTGAACACGGAGGAAGGAACGGCCATCATCAGCTACCAGGGCCGCCCTCATCTGGTCTCTCTTCGGCACATACGACCTCACCAGGCTGGCGTCTTCGTCGTGATCTCTGAAAACCAAGAGGCTAGCTTCCTGGAGCTGCAGAGGATTGCTGAACAAGTGTCGCCGTACAACGCCGTCACGATCGGATGGGTTCCTTTGTCCAAGAATGGCGTTACCACCTGGACCCGGGCTTCAACTACCTCGTTGTCTTATCAGGATACATGGCCCAAGATTGTCTCCCTGGCGAGAGCTCTGTCTCGCTACAACGTGGGCGGTGCCATTGTGGGACAGTCACTTCGGGCATTGCAACCCCCCGCGAGGTTCTGTTGGAGTTCTTCTATTGTGGACGAGGGGAGACAAAAAGTACAGCTGCCACGAGCACAACAACGACCAACCGATCGTCCTCAAGAAGATCACGGCCAGCCCCATCGAGTCCACGGTCTTCATGTACATCTACTACTTCGTGAATGTGGATTACCGACCTCAGGAGGAGATGAAAGTTGTGCCGTCCGAAGGTGCCACGGAGCAGGCCACCGACCACAACATGGACGCGACCCCTGCACCTACGGATGGCATTGGCAATGAAGACGTGACGATTGGGAGCCGGGATCCTGGGTCCTCCATTGAGGCTCCTTCGCCCATGGAAGAGGACAACCTGCCCGAGGATCGCAAGCGCAAGGGACCTGAGTCTCGGACAGTGGTGATAGGTCCAGAGTCCAAGAGGACCAAGGTTTGCTCATTGGTGCACTTGATGAATTCTGAGAAGGTGCACCACCGAGCCCAGCATGTGATGATCAACCTCTACTGGATCATGCACTGGACTCAAGCCATACCCATGTCTTTTCCAATGACATGGTACGGCATGGACAACAATGTGCCCGTTGCGCTGTGGGACATTTTCATGTCAAGGAGCTCTTCGGGGACGTGCGACAATCCGTCCCCAAGCAGGCCTGGATATTTGTTTACATGGCCCGGCAAGAAGCATGAGGAGCTCTATGCGAGCCTCGACACAGGCCAGATTTACAAGGTCGATGATGAGACGGACAACACATCTGAGGATGAGATCTACGACATCTGGCAACAAGTTGAGGAAGCAGATGCTGCGGAGATCAAGCAGTTCGTGGAAACTAAGAGTTTCTCAAAGAGCCACCGCAGCTTCCTCGATGAAGACACCGTCCTCATCGATGCCGTTTGGGTGCGGAAATGGAAGAGGTACCCAGACGGATCACGTCGGGTCAAGTCGCGATTGTGCGCGAGAGGGTGCTTTGACCGGCAGAAGGACTTGTTGTCTACCAGGTCCACGACTGCAACAAGACTCAGTCAGCGACTTCTTTTGTCGACGGCTGCGAACGAGTCTTTGGATGTTGAGTCATGGGACATCGGCGGCGCCTTCTTGAAGGGCATGAACTTCGAGGCCGTTCGCAAGCTGCTGGAGTCCAAGGGCGTCAAGTCCCCCAAGCGCAAGATCGCGATCCTCGCACCAGCCAACGTCTGGCGCCACTTAGCGGCTTTCGATGCCAAGCTCAAGTTGGAGGCCACGCAGATCGACAACTACGTGCTGATCTGCATCAAACCAGTGTATGGGCTCTCCGATGCGCCGCTAGCGTGGCAATTATGTCTCCACGGCCATTTTGAGGAACAAGGGGGCCGGGCATCCTTGATGGATGAAAATTTATTCTACTGGTGCGAGCCTCCATCATACCGAACGACAGCCATGATAACCACTCATGTGGACGATTGCGGATGTGCAGGAAAACCATCATGGCTCAAGAAGCACTACGAGCTTCTTGTCGCGAAGTTCGGTAAGGTCACCCGACAACAGCTCCCCTTCTGCCACTGTGGAGTCCACTACACCAAGACTGCCGATGGATACCACATGAGCCAGGATGACTTCTGCAGCAAGCTGAAAACTGCAGATATACCGAGCGGTCGGAAAGACGATGATGCTCTTTCTCCTACCGAGCTGACGACCTTCCGCTCGATCCTCGGCGGACTCTTGTGGTTGACGGCCACGAGGTTGGACTTGGTGGCGGATGTATGTCTTCTGCAGTCAAATGTGACCAGGGCAAAGATATTCCACCTTCGCCAGGCCAACAATGTTGTTCGCAAGGCCAAGAACGAGCTCGGACAAGGCCTGGGAATCCACTTCAGGCGACTTCGCCCCCCTTTCAGGCTTGCCTGCATCCATGATAGTTCGGCTGCAGGAAATGTCAGAAACTATGCCCAGGAAGGAATATTGGTTCTTCTCTGCGAGGACCAGATGAGCGATTGGTCTCGCGACGAAGAAGTGGTCCTGACAGACCGCCAATGTGCCTTGCTTGGCGGAAAAGGACACGTTCTTTGGGCTCATGGGGCAAAGGCAAAGAGGATTTCGTATTCCACGAGCCATGCTGAAACCTTGGCTGGCATCAGCGGGCTCGAGGCCTCCTCTTTGGTTGCGGTTCGCCTGAGTGAACTCTTTCACATGAAGGCCCCTGCGACACTGCAGTCACTTATAGCCTGCCAGGAGCATGGAGTCAAGCATCTTCCTGTTGACACGTATACAGATTGCAAGGACTTCTATGAACTCTGCTCTGGCAATGGCAACGTTCCTCAAGACAAGAACCAGCGGTTGTACGTGCTTGCTTATCGTGAGGCGCGTATGTCTGGCCGAGTGAGATGGATGTGTCTCATTCCTACACAATCCATGACGGCTGACGCCCTCACAAAATCAATGCTGGCTCCTCCTATGATGGAACTTTTGTCTGCAGGGACCACGACTTTTCGCAACGAGGAGAATCACCCCATCATCATGCGCTCACTGCCTATCATCGCTAACATCGAGGAGAAGCACTTCGACCTCAGCGACAAGGAGCTCATCAAGGAGATCACCAAGAATTTCGCCACTGTCGCGACCTGCTCATCCTCCTCACGGCGATTCTTGTGCATGGCCTTGCTGGTTACTAGCGCTTCAGCATCTTCGACAACCACCACGACGGCTACTACATCCACAAGTGACAGCAGTTGGTTCTTCATGCTGATGCTGACTGCGACGGTGATTATCCTCGAGCGCTTCCTTTGCTCGACTATGTCTATGTGGTGGCGGAGATTGACAACCAATATTTGGCCAGCGACGTCCTCTACGACATCTTCGGCTACAACCTCGACATCGGCGTCTACTACAACTTCGACCTCCAGACCTTCGACGGACCAGTCAACATGGACAGGTGAAGACGACATGGAGCAGGACAAGACCACGCTGATGTTCATCGCTGGCCTGGAAGCAGAGAATTTGCGCCTCCGCACGTTGAACACGTCTCTGGATGGTGAGTTTCGCCGTTACCGCGAACGATATGCTGAGCAGCGGCAGATTTCCGAGAACCTACGGGGTGAGGTGCAGAGACTCCAGACCGCTGGCAATCCAGAGAACGATGCAGAACTTTTCAGTACAGTCGCCACCGGTAGGACTTGGCATCGCTCAGCACGGTGCCATCACCTCCGCGGGGTTCGCACACGTGCAATGCGCCCCTGTACAGATTGCTCCCGAAATGGCTGATTCGTTCGCCGTCGGGAACAAGAGCGGAGTGAAGTTTTTAGGGCTTGCACAGACAGGCATGCAGACTCACATACGGCAGCCGGCTTGGGCCCAAAATCAAGAGCTCTTTCCAAGTCAGTCATTCGAGCGACGACAATCAAAGCAAGCATGATGACAGTAGCGGTAGGACGAGAATCGTCATCCCAGACCCTAAACCCTCAACCCCCAAAACCCTCAAGAACCTAAACGCCCTAAACTCCCTATACCCCTAAACCGGCTCAGAAACCCGGGGCATGGCCCGACCTCAATGGACCAAGGTATTCCTGGATGTTGCCTGCATCCATCAAGGCGATGCCAGGCGCTGGCAGCCGGTAAAAGAGGTTTGAGGTGCAGGGTTTAGGGCTTGCGAGGGTTTCCCTAAACCCCTAAGCCCCTCAGCCCTAAACCGCTCAACCCTAAGCCCTAAACCGCCTAAACCCCTAAACCCCAAACCTAAACCCTGTTTAAGTATGGGATCTCAACCTTATCAGGGCCTTCTAGCGTTGCGAGGGTTTATGGGATCCCAACCCTATTGGGGCCTTAGGGTTTAGTGTTAAGGGTTTAGGGTTTAGGGTCTGTTTGTTTTAGGTGCTTGTTGGGGTCCCAATGTCGTCCCCGAAGCCCGAAGCCGAGGGTTTTTCGGGACATCAGGGTTTAGGACGTTGAGGATAGTAGGGTTTGGGGGTTAGGGGTTTCGGGGTTTACGATTTCGGGTTTTAGGGGCTTAGGACTTCGTGTTTCCGAGATATTAGAGTGTGACTTGGGGAAACCCATTGAAGCCCTGATAGGGGCGTTGGCGTTCCGCGTTCCCAGCACCGAAAGTCTCACCCAGCCCACCGGGGATTACAGCGCAAACCCTAAACCCCCCCCCCAAAAAAAAAAAACTAAACCCCTCCAGGGAGGGGAGGGGAGAGGGATTACAGCGGATGCTAATGCACAGAACGCCCCTAAGTTGAAGGGACTCCAAGTGCCCATAACGGTTTTGAGTTTAGGGTTTAGAGTTTAGGGTTTAGGGTTTAGGGCTTAGGGTTTAGAGTTTAGGGCTCAGGGTTTAGAGTTTAGGGTTAAGGGTTTAGGGTGCCATAAGGAAGCAAAATCTTAAGGCATGTTGCCGATCCCACTCTCACTTTAAGCAATATAGGGGCCTCAAGAATTACCATTTCTTTTTTTGTTTTTCTTTTTTTTTTTTGGG